ACGTACAACAAATGACTTCGATATTTACAAGTATATTGCGTAGATAAAAAATTAAAAGCTGGATCTATAAAAAGATCTTTATTCTTTAAGAGATTTTTGTGCCTTTATTTTAAAGTTAAAATAGAAATTACTTGGTCTAACTTTTGAAAAAGTTTATCAAACTATTTCCAATATAGAAGATTGGAGAAAAAATTATCGCAGTAAAGATAATTTAAGGAAGCATCAAAAAGCAGAAGATGATCTTTTAATGCTTATTACCCCAGCAGGTTAAAACATATGAGGCTAGTAAAAATGCTTTAGTTGCAAAGCAGTTACTTGAGGATTTGAAAATTAATCCTACAAAAGAGCTATCCATGTTTGAGTATTGTAGTTACAGAGACCATTGTTTTTTTATTATACATTTTTCGGGTGCCCATCAATCTAGTGTCACAGCTCATATGACAGTTGAAGAATATAAAAAGTCAAGAGCAGTTAATGATGAAATAATGATGATCAACGTTTGGGATAATAAAACGGTTTCTGATTATGGACCAGCCAGAGTAACATTAAAACCTTGTGAGTTTGAATGGGTTAATGTATTTGTCAATCTTGTTAGAACTAATTTACCTTTCATTTATTCGGACAAAGCATTTTTATCATGGTCTGGTAAAGAAATGTTTCCAGAAGATATTAGTGGAAGGTTAAACTCCCTTTGGGTTAAAGCATGGATTTTTGATGGTCGTTTTGTACCCAAATTTTACTGGTAAAGTTTTTTAAGTAATTGCAGTTAAATATTATACTACACTTTTTTGATCAATTTTTGTTAAACCTGAGAGTTCTTGATAATTTAAATAGATATTATTGGTAAAATTAGATTTGTAGAAAGAATTTTTGAATTTTTGATAAGTCAATCTTTTGCCACGTCTACATGTTAATCACTTTTTTCACATTTTTATAAAAAATTAGAATAAAAAGGCTTTTTAGAATTAAGCAATTTTTCGTAATAATGATATAAATAAATTTCTTGTTATTTTTAAATCTCTAGACTAATCTCTAGTCTCTCTAGATTTGTCGTAAATATTTATAAAATTTAATTAACGGGTAGTTAGAAGTTTTAAAAAAGCTGAAGAAAAAAAAAAAATAAAACACTTTAAGAAATTATTATACTCAGAAGACAAACCTAATTTTTTTTGAACTTAAAAAATAAGCTAAAACTATACAGTTTCTGAACTTCTAGTAGAAATAAATTGATATTAAGAAATTTATAAAAGAAAAGAAATAAGGCAAACATTTTATATTGCTTTTATGGTCCTAATAAGCTCCGGGGAGGGGTGGGGGTCGGAAAATAAACAAAAAGTCGTCCCCACCCCTTTATTCGGCAGGCGAGAGTTAATGTTGTCCAAACACATAATAGTTAATAGGAATCCTTCTGGTTCAAATGTCCCGGAAACACTTCCTTGGTGCAAAATTCTTAGTTTTCAAATCTTAGGTAACATAACATTTACAGCGATACATGAATAATTCCAGAAAATACATTTCAACCTTAGGTAGGATAAATATTACTTACAAGTTTCCTATTAAGAGAACGTTTACATAAAAAAGGCTAACTTAGGTAACACCACAACTTAGTGATGAAGTGCAAAGTTCTATGGCTTATCTTCTCGCGGTACACTTCGTTAAATATCTTAGGCATCTCTTGTATGTCTAATTTATGAACAAAACAGCCAAGGCATTCTCAACAAGGTACAAGTTAAAGGATTTCAAAATGCTAGGTGTTTTTTGAGATCCTGCTAAGCTTAAAATATTTGGACATTTTCTTAGTTGTTTTTTTTTAAAGAATTGATTAAATACTCCTGCTAGGAAGCCCTTTTTTTTTTTTTTGGATACACTTTTTATGTGTTTTTAGATAAATGCTTAGGGTATACTTTTCCACTTGGGACCGCAGAATGTCAAGATAAATAATTGAAAGTATTGTTGTCAATATTGTTTAGATAGTTATGAAATTTTGCATAAAATATTTATTTTCCATATATGCTCAATATATTTTCTATTTATGCTGAATATATTTTAAAATGTTCGGTTAATTTATCGTCAACACTTTCCTATATTCCACTACACAAATCTAGGTTGAGGGTCCTCAGTATGCTTGGTGAGTAAAACTTAATTTAAAAATAAATAAAAAGCTTTTTGTATTAAATTCTTTTCGAAATTATTAAATGTATATTCTGTCTATAATTCCACTAATAAAACATCTTCAAAACAAACTTTAGTCTGTTTTCTTTATTTTCTTTTGAATAAACTCAAGTTTAGTCAAAAGTAAATTAAGAAAAGCAAAGTATTTTTACTAAAGTAAAGTGCGAGTACTAAACTGTGTTTAAATATTTCTTTGGAGCAGTTAATTCATAAAAAAAATTAAATCTTAAACTAACAAGAAAGTTCATTGTTACAGTCTATATTAAGTATATATGTAATTGATATGAATAGAAAGCATTTGGGTGGTGCCGAACCAGCATTAAACATTATTGTGCTGCAATCAATTTACCAAAATCTCTGCTGAAATCAATTTACCAAAATTATATATGAAAGAGATCGCATTACTCTAAAAGAAGCAGTTAATCAACATAAAATCTTGTAATATTCGTAAATTACAGGTGCACCCCAGATCACAGTACACTTTCATGTGCATTTTTAACGTTATATCGCTATTTAGAAAAAACAAAATATAACGCCCTTTTGTTATCCTATATAAAAACCATTTGTCAAGATTTGACAGTGATGTATTGACATTTCTTAAAACTAATACGTTAATATCGATTGAATAAGTTGCTAACAATTTTAAATCAGCAATTAAAGTAACACCTAAAGTGAACAAAGCAAATATTAGCATTACCCAGATTTACGACTTAATGATGGAGGAAATATACTTAAAACGGTTTTATTAATATAGGAAGACAAAGTCAAAAAAGTGCAAGCTATTAAAGAAAAGAGATCAGAGAAGCAACAGCAAATTGAGATATTCTGTAAATGCAAGAGAAAATGTACGTTTGGCAAGCATAGTCATATACATGTATAGACATGCTTGTGTCTATATAGACACAATTTTTTCGTGTTTGAAATAGCTAACTTCCTGATCTCAATGCAGTACAGCATCATGCCGAGGAAAACAGACTCAAACCCAATAACTTATTTATTCAATAGTACCAACAAAGTAGCTTCATTTTGAATATGATAACAGATATCTTGTTCCTTCTAGGATGCAACATATCATAATGTCTTCGCTGATTTTGGATTATATTTTACTTATTTTCATTTTTCGTTTTCATTAAATGTTTTTCAAGGTAAAGTTGTAAAGAAAAAGTTCTCAAAAGTAATCAATTGAGACTTTTAAATAGTTTTTTTAAATTGGTACCTCAAAACGTTAGGTAATGCACCTCAAAATGCTAAGTAGATTATAAAGCAATTTTGAGAAGTATGGACTTATTTTGGGCACTATTCTTTTTTGGAGACATTAAAAAACGTTTCTGATAAAGACCTGCAAACTTATTTTTAGTACTTTTATAAAATTTGAAATAAAAAAAAAATTAAAAGTTAGTAGACATTTTTCAACGTTTTCGTAATTTAGATTATTTTTTAAGGATAACATGTAATATTTTTTTCTTTTTGACTTAACATTACATTCTTTATTCAGATTATTTAGCGCTTTCAGTAGTTAATGAAAGAATTCGGACTCAATGTTGCTTAATTTAAAACCTAGTGTTCTTAAGTTCTACTGCATTTTGAGGTCCTTTTACCTGTATACTATCAAATCAGTAGCAGATTTTGACTTCGGGGTCTAGGGCTACTTTTGTTTATTTTTTTAAACATTTTTTCTTTGTCACAGCGTAAAAATGGCTACAAAAAAAAATTTTCTGACAAGTTCGGAGCTCGTAAAAACGTGGTACAGGGAATATAACCCCCTCCTATAGTCGAACACTGCGTCAGATATGTAAAACTTTTATTTTGTATAAGACAGCGTAATATTCATTAATATAGAGGGTTTTAAACAATTCGATGTGAATATCCTATCGAGGAAATGTGATGGCATCATAACAAATAACGCATAAGCAAAAAAAAAAAGAGAGAGAATGACATACAGGTAACGCAGTTTATTTACATACTATATAAGCAGTATAGTTATTTTAGTAAAGCTGTTTATTCCATTTTTTATTTTATTGTAATGTATTATTTTTTGTTTTCTCTATTTTTCTGGTACTCAACAATTTGACATTAAGATGATCTTTTACAAAAATTAGATAAAGACACCTACACACACCTTTAATTACACAGACACACCTTGGAAATAACCTCTTCTAATTAATTGATATAACACTTTATCAATTTCCCTAGTAGCAAACAATATTGGCGCAATATTGGGGCGATATTGTTTACAATATTGGCGCAATATTGTAAACTATATCGGGCCAACATTAAAGTGTGAACATTTTGCCAATATCGGCCGATATTGGCGGTACGATATTATGCCAATATTGTTAAGTCAATATTGGCCAATATTGGCAGTACAATATTGTGCTAATATTTTATTGTCGATATTGGCCAATATTGGCAAAATAATCACATTGCAATATTGGCGCGATAATGTTTACAATATCGCGCCAATATTGTAAATAACATTGCGCCAATATTGGTGATATAATACTGTTCAATATTAGCGGAATATAGTTTACAATATCTAGTCAATATTGGAAACTATATTAAGCTAATATTGAGTGTTTTCGGTTAAAGTTTTATCATTAAAGTTAATAAAAGAGAAAATTGCTATTTATATTTAAATTTACAACAGTTTTCTTGTTTAAACAACTATAGCAACAGGCTGCATTATTTTTTTGAGTTAAACAGGTTAGAATCTAGGAGACAGTGAGCATGGAACACTTTAAGAAAAAAATACTTTTTTTGAATTATTATATTATATAATTATATACACATATGTATATAAACAAAAATATATCAACTTAAGTGTTGAATATATTAATAAATCTGACAGTTTATATACTTTGAATTAAAAATTGTAAAATTCTTAAATTTATTGTTTTATTTAGTTGGAAAAACTGTTTTCAGCCGATAGTACACTTTTTTCAACCGTTGGTGAACTATTTTCTTCAATTCGGAAATCGCTTTTTTTGAGGCGCCGTTTTCGCCCTCCATCTCGATCGCTTGATTGTGCTAAAAACCTACCAATACGCACTTTAATGTGCTTCTCATTAGAGTCCGGATGTTTTCTTCTTACTGCAGCTACATGTTATTAATTCAAGCACTAAAACTTAATTTCATATTTAAACTATATATATTGATTAAATAATTCTTAGTGTGTATATACATATATATATATATATATATATATATATATATATATATATATATATACACATATACATATATTTATATACACATATATATATATATACATATATATATATATGTGAATATAAATACATATATATATGTATATATATATATATATACACATATACATATATTTATATACACATATATATATATATATATATATATATATATATATATATATATATATATATATATATATATATATATATACATACATATATATATATATATATATATATATATATATATATATATATATATATATATATACATATACATATACATATAAATATATATATATATATATATATTATATATATATATATATAGCATTGTTTATTAGTATTTAGTAATTACTAGAGTATTTAATTAATTACAATCTTTTGACAATAACAACCAATACACGCACACATATACACAATGCCTTACCAATAACAACCTGGCAGGATGTAAGAGCAGCAAAAGACTTTTTCCCTTTTTTGCCATAGGTTGAATATAATAATGATGTTTTTGGGGAGAGCAGCTTCCCCATAATAGCACTTGTCATATGTTGGTAATCTTCACCTCCTACAGCTGTTAAATAGTTCTAAATAAAAACACACTAAATACCCCAGTTAAGTTCAATAACTTACAAAAGCTTAGATTTTTTTATGAAATATAACTTAGGTATAACTAAATTGCAAACAATATACCAAAGATTTTAAGTTATCTTTATCTTGAAGTTTATGCTCCAGGACAACTAGTTCCTCTTTTGTTTGAATTGGCAAACAATTCCATTCGAGAAATGGAATTGTGTTCTGAGTAATAGCAACTCCGTGAAGTAAATTAGTATTTAAATACTTCTCTATATTATTGATCTTGGAGTCGATTTTCTTTATTTCATATTGGATGCTTGTTAGAAGCTCAAAGTTCTTTTTTTCAAACACTACAATTCAAATTATAAATTATGATTATAAATTCCAAGAAACATAAATAAAATTTTATTTCATTATTCATTACAAAAAAATATATAAAAACTTATAAAAGAATCAGTAAAACAAATGATAAATATAATCACTAGCAAATCTTGTCCCAATAGAAGCGATAGATTTTGATATATTATTTTCATCTGTAATAACTGGCTGTGATAAAAATAGAGAGGAATTTCGGTTTTGTCAAACAAGTCATCTTCATTACTATCTTCTTCATCAGTGTTTATTAGATGCTTTTTTGTTTTGATTTAAGTTGCTTTCCTCTAGATTTTTTTAATGGAGGTGATTCATCTAGGCTATCTTCATATCTTTCTGCATTTGAAGTATATCCCAGTATTTCAATTTTCTGAAATGCTGCTTCATAACTGTCTATAAAAAATAAGAAATTTAACTATTTCATTTACTACCTTTACTTTCACATTTAATACTTTATCCTGTAATCCAATAAACTTATATAATGTTTTTTTTAAATTTTTAAATTACTTTTTTTTATTGTTATTTAAAAAGTTTTTCTGTTGCTAGCTTTTCATATATCTTTGTTAACATTATTATTCAAAATAAATTTTATTAAAATAAATAAAAATAAATCAGGTTTTTTTCAACACCCCTTCACATAGTGATCACCCTCCTTTAAACTCTACGTCTCACTTACTACTTTGTTGTTTGTGAGTTTAGGATTAAACCCAAAATTTTTATTTAAGTTAACCAATACCAGTTTCATATAGAATACGGATTTTCAGCTGCTTCCAGCTCCTGTTTGGTGTTACATTATCTTGTGCTGCTTTCATTATCCTTGATGATGATTAAAGATTGCTTGGCCAGTAAGTAATATGGTTGTTTATCAGCCAAGACGAGCATATAATCTCCATAGCACATACTCCTTGTTTTTTTTCCTCTATAAATTCTACAACAACATATTTTTTGAACTCTTTTGACACAGGAAATACGTTGGCCATTGAATAATTTCACCTCTAAATTAAAATGTTTTGTCGATAAGTTTTTCATAATTTGATTATTAAATTAAAAGTATAGTTAAATTTTAACAAATTAAATATATACATTTAACAACTAACTGATTTTAAAAACTCTATATTCAAATGTAGTCAGATGCAGTATGCAATCTGATGAGAAAAAAAAAAGCTGAAATATTTATTCTGATAAAATTTAAACTAATTGTTTTTACATAGTTTTACTAGAGGTGCTGAGATGCACAAGAGATCACCCAGTACTTATAACACATTAAATACATGGAATTAAACCAACAATAAGTAAAAGTACAAACATGAATAAAAGACTAGAACTTTTAATTCACAGAATTTTATTATCAGCAGCAACATAAAAATACTATAAAAATGTATAATACAACATTATAATAAAAAATAATAAATATAATATTGGGAACTTTTATTAAAACTTCTCCATTACTTCAAAAATAAAAAATAAAAGAGCATTAAATCTTGGCAAATTTAAACCTGTTTAGAGTTATATGGTATATGCGTGGTATTGAAAATATATTTGATTCATATACATGACTTTGCAACTGATATATGCGGTGCCCAATGGCAACAAAAATATCACTTGCAAAGTTGCAAAAAAAGTTGCATATCAAAAATATCAGTTGCAAAAAATAAAATATAAAAGAAAAAGTTGCAATATCTAAATATAATATTAAATGTCTGCAAATTTATGATGCAACAATGGAAAAGCAACAAAATATTTTCCTCTAGGAAAAAATAAACATTTTGTTGTTATTGTAGTCAAAGGAAAGGCAAACAATTGGTCTGACAACTTTGTTACTCGAAATACATTTAGCTGAGAAGAATTACAAGGATAATTGTAAAATCCCTTTTTAAAACCAAATACTTTTGTAACAATCATAACTTCATCACTTTCAATAATGTTAATGATGACAACAACACTTTTATTTTTAAGTAAAGCGCAATTGTTGCAATTTAAAGTGGAGTAATTAAATCCAGCATAGAAAACTCCATTGAACCTTAATTGTGAAATTTTTTAAGAAGTGTTTGAAAATCGCCAAAATGGGTGATTAGATTATTGCCTATTTCTTCTCTTTCTGATATACGTCGACACAACTGCTGGAGTGGCATTCTGCCAGATCTTAACATTCGTTTAATTGTGCCTAAAGTATTTTCAAATGGAAATGCACTATATTCGTCTAAAAAACCAAATTTTCTTACATCATCACAAATGTGAAAAATGCTGTGCATTGTGTAATTTAAAGAGCATTTCCCATATAAAATTGGCATTTGTTTAACAAACTCATTAATGAGCTTTTCTGCATAGTCAATATATATCAAATAAAAAGCAGGACTAATTAAAATGGTAATCGCTACATGCAAAAGCATAAAGTGATTGTATAATTTATCTTCAAGATTACTTCGCAACACAACAGGTCCAATATAGCACAGAAACAACCTAAACTCAGTAGCCTTCCATCTATTAATTTCTTTTAAGGATCGTGGTTTGCGTGAAAATTCAACAGTAACATGTGAAGCTATAATTTTTATTTCATTTGATATTAAATCAGCAATTTGCATACTTATTTTAACAAGACGACTACCTCGTAGCCAATGCAGTAATAATCTGCGTGTTGCGCCAAGACAGACAAGATCCATATACTCAAGCGGAAATTGTGAATGGTGACCAATATTTAGTTTTAATAATGGTGGAACAACGCCAAGTTTATGGTGTTCTTCTTGTTCATAACATGCAAATGAAGCATCTGTTCTCCTGATTGAATTTATCTCAAGAAATACTGTCCTGCTGTCAAAACGTTCTCCTTTTTGAATGCATCTTTCACAACCATAATAAACATTGTGCCCTTTGATACCTTTTTTAAATGCACGTGCTGGTGCATCACACACAAAAGCTTTAGCATGTATGTTAAAGTGATTGCCATTTACAAATATTCCATATTTTCTCAAAGAGCTAAATTCAGTAACAAAATCTGCTAAAAAAACTTCTGTACTTTTTGGTTTACTCTTTCCACAAAATAATGATATTATAAATGGCTTGTATAAATTTTTTCCTAGTTGAACAGAACAAAGCAATGGCCAAAACTGTTTCGCAGAGCTCTTATATAAAGGCAGGCCATCAATACTAAATATTAAATGAACATCATTATGTATACAGTTACCACTGCATGTAAGTTCAAGTAAACTCACTAATTTGCTTTTTATTCTAAGATAAACATACTCTGCATCTTGTCCATAAATGTCTTTCATAACTATAATAAAAAAACAGCTTTTACTTTTGAGTAATGTTCTACAATCTTTAGGTAAATCTTCATGATATTTCCATAGTATCTTAAGTAGGTCTGAAAATGAACTATGTGTTATGTTATGTTTTATTGACCATTTTACAAGCAAATTCCTAAACGAAATTACTTCTTTGCTGTCATCATCCCTACTTGAACAAGTAGAATAGTATCTATTTTCATCATTACTTGTAAGGTTAAAGATGTTTTCGTTATTCATATCAAAATTAGTACTAGATAAATCTAATAAAAATTGATTTGAGCTCAGATTGTGGTCATAAATACTTGAATCATCAAGTAATGGTATGGTGCCATTGTCAATTATACGATCAATGCTGTATGTCTGTTTTTTTACTGGCTTATCATTAAAATTATAATAATCAGATAGCAGAGTATCTTCATTATAAATATATTGGAAACTAACAACTTCATTATTGCATTTAGTGTCATTTTCAGTATTAAAAGACGAGGTAATGTCATTCAAATGTCTTTTAACAGCTCTTTTAATGTAGTTAGATTTTACATATCGACTTGAAGTTGTTTCATTCATTGCCTAATTAATGAAATATATAAGAAATAAATATAGTATATCACAAAGTACATTATAATGTATAACTAATATTATTATATATCATTAAATTAATTAAAACTTAAAAATTAGTTGTGCCCGCATACAAATAATGCCTGCCATTAATGATTTCACTTGAAAATCATATTTAATTTAAACTAATAATTTATAAACCCCATTTAAATAAATAACAAAATATTTTTTTTTGTTTTAAAAAGTGCCTCCCTAAACATATATCAACAGATTTAAATAGGCGTAGGCGCAATAGTGTATCAATGCACACTCACAGACATAAATAAGGATAGGCACAGTGGAGTGTATATATATATCTAGCTTAGTAGATATATGTACACTCCACAATGCCTATCCTTATTTATGTCAATGAACATGCATTGATACACTATTGCACTTATGCCTATTTAAGTCTGTTGATATAAACTTAAAGTTCCGTAATAAATGTGTTTTCTTTTTTCGTTTTTAATTATAAACCGCTCTGTTATGAAATTTATATATAATCAAAATAAGTTTCTTAAATATTTTCAACAAACTTTTTGACGAACAAGAGTTGTGTATTATTTTAATACAATACTACATAAAACAATATATATGTATATATATATATATATATATATATATATATATATATATATATATATATATATATATATATATACATATATATATATATATATATATATATACATATTATATAATATATATATATATATATATATATATATATATATATATATATATATATATATATATATATCAAAAATGTAATATTTGCATTTTACATTTTAGAATAAAATAAAGAAATTTATATGCAGATAATTAAACGCTATTTTTATAACATAGTTTAAAACAAATAAATTTGACACTTTGTTTTTCTATAAACTAGTTTATGTTCAAAATATAAACTACCTATTTTTAAAAAAGCATAAAATATATAAGTTTTTAAATCAGACTTGTTGTACGTAAAAAAAGTTATTCAGTTAAATATCATTTATTATAAAGATAGCTTACATATAAACAAATTTTAGAAATATTTTGCTTTGTTTTGTGTTTAACAAATAAATTTTATAAAAACTAAATAACATGTTTTAAATGTAAAAATCTGACTTACCACTCCTAAGTAAAACAATGAAAATCACTTTTGGAAATAACTTTTTAAACTTTTAAACCTTAATAATAATTAATGAAACTAAAATGGGTGTATAAGTATTCATCATTACTTTACTTAAAGTATAATAAAATTTCAAATTTTTTTTATTTTTTTTTATTTTAAAGCTTTTAAATATTGACATTATTAGTATTATATAATAACACGCATATGCAAAAATGTCAATATTTACCAATATTGGCGTAGTAACAACAAATCATTATCGCGCCAATATTGGCATAACAATATTAGAATAACAATATTGGGGGAACATCGGCATGCAAATTTTTGGCAATATTGATTAGCCGATATTGGCGAAATATTTTTTTGCCAATATTAGCCCAATATTGGCATGCATATATTGGCCCAAAAATGTTTGCCAATATTTGCGCAATATCGTATATCTTGGCCAACATTAGCCAAGATACTCAATATCGCGCCATTATTGCGCCAATATTGTTTGCTACTAGGGTTGCAATTGGTTACCATTCCAACATTAAAGAGTGCACGTCCGTCTAATTCAGGATAGACAGCAATTCTTTACGGATTAACAGTTTTTCAGTAATACTTGGAGTTTCGAACAGAAATTGAAAAGGTTCTTAAATGCACTTATAACTCCAGAATTGTCTTTGTTAGCAACAGAAGTTTGTTAGCTATATGAAAATAGGAAATTTAAAATCTTTGTGGCTTTCGTCTAAATTGCTTCTATACTTAAAATTGCCATTCCAGTTGCTAATGCTAACTTTATTTATCTACTAACTTGTAAAGAAAAGTCAATTTAAAAAGTGGGCATTGGATTGGCTAATATGCTGTCAGCAGTCAGCCTATCTTTTTTTTGCTATAGTTCCTCTGAACTGGGATTAAATTCCCCAAACAAAATTTGTAGCACTGGCAGTAACCAAGACACTCTCCTAAGATATTCAATAGTATTTTGAGGTATACCCTAGCTACCATACATTCAGTGGCGTAACAACCATATGAACAGGGTGGTCAAAAGCCAGGGGCCAAAACAATGAGGTCTCTAGACACTTCCATTAACAAATTTGTTTCACTTTTTTAATTCGATTATCGTGATATGGCAAAAATATACACTTAAATTAATTAAAAATTTAGATTAACTCAGTTAATAACTGCAGTGAACTAAACTAGAAGTTAAAATATTAAAAAACAATTAATGGAGTAATTATCGTACCATTTGTTTGTATGTTGCATTTACAAAGCTTATAGTTAGCTAATAATTTATTTTCTTCTACTAATAAAACGAAAGCTAGAAACGCAAAATTTAAGAAACTGACAAAAAGATTATGCCCGTCTAGGTTCCGAAAACGGTTTAACCATTTATTATGCAAAATTTAGATCCACACATTTTGAGGAGTCAAGTAGCTGAATTCTTTTATTTAGATTTTGAAACACATGTTTTATAGTAAAACGTAAATTACACCTAACATATCACACATAACAATAAATAAATGGCAGTAGTTCAAAAAATTGCATCTAGTAAACGAAACAACATACAAACATAACTATAAAAAATAATATACAATTAAAACGCATTTGTTTCATTTGCTAATTTTTTAATTGATTGTAGAACCAGTCCTCCAACCACAAAAAATGTGTCAACTCGATAAAAAATTTCTAAAGCTTAAAAAAAAGTAAAAAGAGGCAATCATTATTGAATTATAGTAGAATGTTTTACTCTTTTTAATCTTTTAATAGTTTAAAATTCGTCTTGCTAACACTTTTTTTTTAAGCTTCGGTCGGATTTATTGCGAGTTTTATTGGGCGTTTGTTGATTAACATGGATGAACACTTCATTGGCCGTAGATTGTCGATGTAGCTTAATCATCACACCATATATATGCAAAATTAAGTAGCATGAAAAGTTGCACATCTATATGCTAGACAAAAAAGTTAGCCTTGAAAAAATAATCTTGACAAAACAATAAAATAACCCGTACTTTTGGAGAATGATTTTTGATGCTTTATTAACATTATACTAAGCCTCAAAAGTTTATATTTTCCTCCCTAAAAATCTTTTTTGTGATTTAATAACATTTGTGATAAAAAAAATAATTAGATTTAAAAGGATAACTAAGTGATTGGCTAACTAAGGAGTGGACTTGTAAAACCAGATAATTAACATTTTTTCTCCGTCAAAGATAAACAGAAAAAACTTAAAATCATGATTTTAACACGATCATACCTCATGAATTTAGGTTGTTTTAACGTCACTAACATTTATAAATATGTTGCTTTGTAATGGCTATTCAAATAATTAGTCCAATTAATAAGTAATTTTTTACAAAAATAAATTCTCTTGTTTTACAATTCAACTCTTCAAGTATAACTTCAAAGGCACTAGCGGAAAACTATAACAATACAAACATCTTGACAACAAGAATTTTGTCAAGATGTTTACGTAACGGAATGATGTAACGGAAATTTAGTGTGAACTAAGTTGATTAAGATACGCCACCGCATACCCTAGCTCACCGACCCTTCCCCTAGATATGTTTGTCAAATTTTGAAGGTTGTTATAGGAGCGTCCCTGGAAGTTTATCGAGTTGTTGACAAAGTTGAGGTAAAAATAGAGCCGAATAAAAGGCTGGTAAAACCAGAGCCGGATTAGCTTCTTTATAGGCCTGGGGCAGAGCATATCATACTTGTGTTAAATATAGAAAAAATAAAATAAATATACACATTTTCCTGTATCGTAAGCCCACTTTTTTTTGTAAGTTTGGGGGAAATATTCCATATGCCCCAATGGTTAATCTGGGGTAACATCCTACGTAAAACCGAATTCGTATGATAAATATCAGAAAAACAGAGAAAAAATTATTTGGGGCCATCAATAAAGGGCGTAATCCATATAAGGAGGGGGTAATCAAGATAAATGGGATAAAAAAAGACAAACGAAAGAGGGGTATGACTAAAAAGATTGTCACTTTATAGGTTATCTATTTAAATTTTATTAGCATCGAAAAGTAAATCTAAAAATGCGTTTTTATGAAGATAATATAAGAGAATTTGTTTGATTTTATTTTCCAAAGGAGTAGCAGCGTATCAAACATCATTGTGACATCAAATGAAAAAATATTGGGTTAAAGTAAGGTGGAGGGGTCACGATTATTTAACATCCTATACAAGAAAGAAGAATTATAGGAAAAAAGGACAACCAGTGAAAAAAAAGGGAAGGGGGAGAGAGAGGTGTCAAAAATTGTTGGCCTTAAAAATTGTGACGTCTTTTATGGAAGGTCCCTTTAACTGCATTATTTAATGTTAGTTTTTTGGGCTTTCTCATTTGTAAAATACAAAGCAATTATATTTAATTCAAATTTTTCAATCTTTGGAGGTCCGGAAATGTGTGTTGCTATGATGTGTTTTTCCTAGTTACGTTACCATTACTTTAACAAACTTTCTTAATTGAATTTATTTTGATTTACAATATATTAAATCATTTGTAAAAGTAAATTGTTTGGAGTCTTTTTTGAGTCTTCCATTATTGTTCCAAACATAATTTTATTGGCAATTTTGGCTCTTAAAGGCATCCATTAATTAAGTCAACAAGATAGGAGGGTGGAGGTTCTGAACATTTTTGACAGGTATTGAAACAGGGAAGAGAGGGAAGTCAAATCAAGTTGACATCAACAATGTTTTTTTGATTTTTGTTACTCAAAATACACAAAATTGAGCTGCGTTTGCACCGCAGTTTCAAATGGAACTTTATTCTGAGCATGCGCAGTCAAAATATGAGAAAATCAATGGTTTTTTAATTATTTCTTTTTGAAGCTCAGCTACTGCAACTTAATTTTTTTAATGTTTGATATTCTAAATTTTTTCCAAACCAAAGCGATTTGTTTCAGAGATAACTGATAAAACATTGTTTTATAAATTTTGTTATTGAAATTAGGGTTTTCAACAAAAACTTTTAAATCAAATGGTAAAATATTGTTCTTAAAATTTTTTATTTTGTAATCAGCTATGTTATAATGAAACGAATTTTCTGTATCTGAAAGTAAATATTTTTGTTTTCATCAGTTAATTGTTCTTCCTTTAAACTTAACTTTGGAGACCGATTTTTTTTTTTCGCTAATTTTTTATTTATTTTACATAACTGCTATATTTAGATATTTTGTAAACATGGACCATTTAACCAAGTTAAGTCTCATTTGCCGAATTTGTGGAGAACATATAACAAAAGACTCAGTTGATGTGTGTAAATATTCTGAAAGAATTGGAAATACTTTTTATATAAACACCACCATGGACAATAAAAATATTCACCCACAAAAAATGTGTAGGAGGTGCTATATCATTATGAGGAACATTGAAAAAGGTTCTAGCACAAGTCTTAAAGTAGTAAAATGGCCATCACCATGTCCAGACAAATGTTCCTGTTTCTCCAAAGTTTCTGGAAGGAAAGTTAAAAAATGTAAAGCTGGTCGGCCATGTATAATAGAACAAAATCAGAAAAGATGGACAAGGCTAATCATTAATAACTTAATTGCTAGTATACCAAAACAAACATTGCGTTTAAATGCAATTGATATTGATCCCGTAGCAAATCCCCATTTAGACTTATGTATATGCCAGTTATGCAACAACATTATGTATAAGCCACTAATATTAAAAGAGTGTCAGCATTCTTTTTGCTCAGAGTGTTTATTCAGAGAGATTGAAGGAAAGCTGGAAACAGAAGCAAAATGCTTTATTTGTAATCAACACATTCCATTATATACAATTTTAAATTCTGTTAATGTAACACTATTGATAGAGCACATTCTTTTAGGTTGCAATAAGAAATGTGAATTAAAATTTGCAGTTAAAGACAATGACCTTATAAAATTACACGAAGAAATTTGTATTGGTGAACAGCTATTACCAACTATGATTTGCAAAAAAATTCATGATGGACTTGAAACAACTCTAGCTGATGTATTTTTATTAAAAGAAAATGATGCTATACCACGGATTGTAGAAGATGCTGCGTTACATGTTATAAAGCAAAAGCTAGTTACCTCTGAATCAAATTTGTTTGCATTTCCTTCCGGAGGACCAAGGGTAAGCAC